TCAATATATTCTAGTTATTGATCAATGGAGTCTAGTTATTGATCAATGGAGTCTAGTTATTGATCAATATATTCTAGTTATTGATCAATATATTCTAGTTATTGATCAATAGAGTCTAGTTATTGATCAATAGAGTCTAGTTATTGATCAATATATTATAGCTATTGATCAATAGAGTCTAGCTATTGATCAATATATTCTAGTTATTGATCAGTAGAGTCTAGTTATTGATCAGTAGTCTAGTTATTGATCAGTAGTCTAGTTATTGATCAGTAGAGTCTAGTTATTGATCAATATTATATAGAATACAAAATGATTATTGATTCACAATGATCGTCATTGATTAGTAATAATCAATACTAATCAATGAATGATCCTCATTGATTAGCATTGATTAGTAATTATCAACCACATGTCAGGTTTCTGAGAGAGAACAACATGTAGGACAAGTGTGATTGATCGGGAAGAAGAGATTAAGTCCAGCTATTGATCAATACAGTCTATTGATCAGTAGAGCCTACTTATTGATTAGTAGAGTCTAGGTATTGATCAATGGAGTCTAGTTATTGATCAATATATTCATGTTACTGATCAATAGTCTAGTTACTGATCAATAGATTCCTGTTACTGCAATAGAGTCTAGTTACTGATCAGTGGAGTTCATTTATTGATCAATATATTCTAGCTATTGATGAATGGGCTCTAGTTATTGATCAATAGAGAGATTTTTTTCATCTGCTCGTTTATTTTTTTTTTAATAATCTTTAAGTGATTCATCAGGTTGTGTGTTTTGTCATTTTGGCAAAATGAAACAGTGTCAATGATAATTAATTTAAATGAGTGGTTATTGATTGTCGATCCAGATCCCTCAGGTGAGCTATGCGTCAACGGCTCCGGAGCTCAGCGATAATAACCGGTACGACTTCTTCTCCCGGGTGGTTCCTCCGGACTCGTACCAGGCTCAGGCCATGCTGGACGTCGTCCGAGCTCTGGGTTGGAACTACGTGTCCACGTTGGCATCGGAGGGGAACTACGGAGAGAGCGGAGTGGACGCCTTCATGCAGATCTCCAGAGAGGCTGGTACGCCACCTTAACTCCTAACTCCTAACCCTAATACCGTGTTCACACCAAACGCGGCGCAAATGATTCGCGCCGCGTATTCGCCTCATTCGCGCCGCCGGTCTCGCCGGGGACTATTTGTGTTCATTCTCGTGAATCGCGCGAATCACGCTGGACTCGCTAGACGCGCTGGAGAGGGGGCGTGGCTTATCGCCCTGAAAGCCGCTTACGCATACATGGAATTTGTCTCGGGTTTCCACTCCGCTCTCAATGTACAAACACAAATTTACAATAAACAAGAAAATATATGTATAAAGAATAAAAAAGGGCAGCAAAATATATATACAATATAAGTATAAATATATATCCGAGAGAAAAAGTGTATATATATATATATACACACATGTGAACATAAACCTATAGACAATGGCATGAATTGTAAGTGGTGGTAATAGTGCAGTATAACTTATTTATTGTTCATGAGAGTGATGGCCAGTGCAAAGAAGCTGTTACTGTGTCTGGTGGTTTCTGCGTACAGAGCTCTGTAGCTCCTACCAGAGGGGAGGAGTTGTGATGGGTCCAGGGTGTGATGGGTCTGCAGTGATCTTTCCAGCCTGTTTCCTGACTCTGGAGGTGAACAAGTCCAGGATGGAGGGCAGGCTGGAACCAATGATCCTCTCTGCAGACCTGACAATCCGTTGTAGTCTGTTCCTGTCCTGTTTCCAAACCACACAGTGATAGAGGAGCAGAGAACAGACTGGATGATGGCTGAGTAGAACAGGATCAGCAGCTCCTGAGGCAGGTTGAACTTCCTGAGCTGTCGCAGGAAGTAGAACCTCTGCTGTGCCTTTTTCCTGATGGTGTCGATGTTGGGGGCCCACTTCAGGTCCTGGGAGATTGTGGATCCCAGAAACTTGAAGGTCTCCACAGCAGACACCGTGCTGTTGAGTATGGTGAGGGGGGGCAGTGTTGGGGGGCTCCTCCTGAAGTCCACTGTCATCTCCACAGTTTTGAGCCTGTTCAGCTCCAGGTTGTTCTGACCACACCAGAGGACCAGCTGTTCAACCTCCCGCCTGTACGCAGACTCGTCACCGTCCCTGATGAGGCCGATGACCGTTGTGTCGTCTGCGAACTTCGGAGCTTTGCGGAGTTTGACCGTTGGGTCCTCTGAGGTGCAGCCATTAGTGTAGAGGGAGAAGAGCAGTGGGGAGAGCACACATCCCTGGGGGGCGCCAGTGCTGATAGTCCGAGTACTGGATGTGGTGTTTCCCAGCCTCACCTGCTGCGTCCTGTCAGTCAGGAAGTTAGTGATCCACTGACAGGTGGAGGCTGCACAGTGAGCTGGGAGAGTTTGGGTTGCAGTATTGCTGGGATGATGGTGTTTGAACGCTGAGCTGAAGTCCACAAACAGAACCCTTGCATATGTCCCTGGGGAGTCGAGGTGTTGCAGCATGTAGTGCAGTCCTATACTGACTGCATCATCCACCGACCTGTTTGCACAGTAGGCAAACTGCAGGGGGTCCAGCAGGGGTCCTGTGATGTCCTTCAGATGGGTCAACACCAGTTCCTCAAAGGATTTCATGACCACAGACATCAGGGCGACGGGCCTGTAGTCATTTAATCCTGTGATGGAGGGGTTCTTGGGGACCAGGATGATCGCTCCTAACCCATAACCCTAACTCCTAACTCCTAACCCCTAACCCTTCATGCTGATCTCCAGAGAGGCGGCTACATCACGATTGTACTCTGTTCTACTTTCCTCTGCCGACTGCGTTTTCTAGTCCAGATGTTGTAAATGATGAAGGTTCTTTCTTGATTTAAAAAATATCACGTTTCTGGAATAACTCACTTTTTTCCCAGAATTCCTGTGACAGGAATCCACACAGATAATGAATCATCAAATGTTTTTGGGTTAAAACGTCACATGTTCTGATACTATTCTTCAGATAATGTTGTAATCCTCCTGTTGAGAGAATGTTTCATGTTAATTCATTTTGTGTTCCTGCTCCATTATAGCTGATTAGAAATCAAAGAAGATCATGTTTATTATTATTATTATCAGTTTAAGTTCTTGTGAATATTAAATGTTTTTAACTTATATTTTCAATTTTTCTACAGGTCTTATTGACCTGAGCTCATACAGCTTGTTTTGGGGTAAAAAGACAATAATGTATTAATTATTTTGACGATAACAAAGACGAAACATATTAAATTCATCACAGACGTCTTTATGCCAAAGTTTAACAATTTGTTTTCAAACCATTTCAAAATTTTACATCGTGGCACAAAATAACACACTCACATTAAACCTGTCTGTCTCTCTGTCAGGTGGGGTGTGTATCGCTCAGTCGGTGAAGATTCCTCGTGAGGCGACGGCCGGAGAGTTTGATAAGATCATAAAACGTCTGATGGAGACGAGTAACGCCAGAGGAGTGATCATCTTCGCCAACGAGGACGACATAAAGTACAAACACAGACAACACTGGTTCATATAAACAACAACAAAACCAAACAAACAGCCCCCCCCCCACCCACACACACAACACACACACACACGCACACACACTGACAATCATCACATTCAGTCCAAACCAGGTTTTCTAGTCACATTATAGTCACATGACTACTCTGACGACTCCCCTCCCTTCCTGGTAGGCGTGTCCTTGAGGCGGCGAAGCACGCCAACCTGACTGGTCACTTCCTGTTTGTGGGGTCGGACAGCTGGGGAGCAAAAAGTTCACCAATCACAGAGCTGGAGGACGTGGCTGAGGGAGCTGTGACCATCCTGCCCAAACGGGCTTCTATAGATGGTAAAAATACCCGTAGAATAACATGACGGACTGAAAGAGACTGAACCTGACTGTGTGTGTGTGTGTGTGCGTGTGTATGTGTGTGTGCTGTACAGGCTTCGATCAGTACTTCATGTCTCGTTCTCTGGAGAACAACCGCAGGAACATTTGGTTTAATGAGTTCTGGGAGGACGACTTTAGGTGTAAACTGACCCGGCCTGGAATCAAACTGGACCCTGAGAGGAGGAAATGTACAGGTAGGCAGACTTGAGTGGGCGGAGTCTGGTGGTGAGACCCTCCTTTGACCACATGTGTGTGTCCCTGCAGGTGAGGAGAGGATCGGTCAGGACTCATCCTACGAGCAGGAGGGGAAGGTTCAGTTTGTGATTGATGCGGTTTACGCCGTCGCTTACGCTCTGCACAGCATGCACCTGGATCTGTGTCCCAGCAGCCCCGGAATCTGCAGCGACATGGACCCTGTGGAGGGACGGTTGCTGCTGGACTACATCAGAGCCGTCAACTTCAACGGTAACAACACTCAGAGAGCTGCTAGAGAACCAGGTGTTGCTGTGTTTGGAGGGAGAGGAACTTCATTTGCATCACAGGGACGTTTGGGACATGAGACTGAGGGTCACGTTCAAAGTTCTGGTCTCAAGGTCTATGTCTGTAAACAAGGAAGGCGGTGATGAAGGAGACTTCTCAGGCTGATTGACCCAGAGGACTAAACAGTGAAGCCATGTCCATTAGGGACATAAAATAATTCTGCCATTTCTTATTTTTATTTCTTTCTACAAATATTTCATCTAAATTCATCTAATGTTCACCAATATATATATAATATATACTGTATAATATATATGGTACATTATTAAGGTGACCCTGAACAAAACTTATTAATCAGTTTTTGGGTATGACCGAATGTTTGTCTGTAACTTTTGAAGACAAGGCCTGTTGACTTTAATAAGATGAAAGCATATGCACAACATATTGAAGCATGAGCAGCTCCACCATAAATAAAACACAACCACATCTCTTCAATAAATGATTCAAGTATCTTCAGACATGAATCACCAACACCTTTGGCTTCAGAAGCAGCAGCAGATGCAGCATCTCACCACTTTTCTAGAGGAAAATGTAAATATTCTAATTTGACATAATGTCCTCCTTCACTTTTCTTTTAAACATCTGTCTTCTCTTTCCAACATGTGGACACTGAGTCACTATATGGAGGACTGAGAGTCTTCAGACAGTTTAAAATCCACCATCACAGACAGAAACTGTCTTCAGAGAGATTTTCAGAGCAGCACAACAAACTGCAGCAGCTTCATTCTGTTCGACAAAAAATCTATATTTTATAAGGACGAGAAGCTGCAGCAGCTGGAAGACAGAAGATGTAATCTGTAACAGCCACAGCTGCACGCCTTGAAACCTGTCTGTCTGACTACCTGTCTCTCTCTCTCTCTCTCTCTCTCTCTCCATATTTAATTCAAAGATATCAGACATAAACTTGAACAGGGACTCTGATGCTGACCCCTGAGGTAAAAGGTTCAGGGACAGTTTAATCTGGTCCCACACCACCAGGTTCAGACACCACTTCATCTGGTCCCACAACACCAGGTTCAGGACAGCTTCATCTGGTCCCACAAGACCAGGTTCAGACACCACTTCAT